TTGGAGGTCTTATAGGACCTGAGGAAACCAGGTGTTGGAGGTTTTATATTACCTGAGGAGACCAGGTGTTGGTGGTTTTGGAGGGAATATTGACCCATTCTGGTCTGTTGGAGGATTCTAGCTGTTCAACAGTCTTGAATCTTCTTTGATGGACCTTCTGTGGTATGATGCACCAAATGATTTTAGTTGGCGAGAGGTGTGGACTGCAGGCAGGTCAGCTCAACATCTGGACTCTTCAAAGCCATGTTGCTGTAATGGATGCAGCTTGTGGTGTAACAGTTTTACTGGATAATGCAAGACCTTCCCTAAAAAACATAACCTCGATTGAAACAGATGTTCTAAAACCTGTGCATATTCTTTCCTGCATTAATACAGCCTTTCCTGATTCATAAGCTGCCAGTTTTATAGGCACTAATGCACTCCCATACCATCAGAGAGGCAGCTCTTTTAACATGTGCACTAAAAATAGGCTAACTGGAAGGATGCTGCATCTGTGGTTTTCAAAACAGACTTCGGATTTGGATCTGTCTGACCACAGAACAGTTCTGGACATCATCTCAGTCCATTTGAAATGAGCTCTGGTCCAGAGATGGCAGTGGTTCTGGGTGGTTCTGGCACGGTAGACTGCGTTTACAGACACTGATCTGTGGAAGTGTTCCTGAGCCCAGAACAGAACCAGACCTGGTTTTAATGCAGTGACCCCTGAGGGGCTGAAGATCATGATCATCCAAGATTGACCTTCAGCCTCGTCTTTTGAACTCAGAGATTTCTACAGAGTCTTCTAATATTTACTTACTGTTAGCAGCATGGTCCTGTTAGTATTGTGTTGCTGTTAGCAGCATGGTCTTGTTAACTGTTGGGTTCTGTTAGCAGTGTGGTCCTGTTGGCAGCATGGTGCTGTTGGAAGTTTGGTCCTGTTAGTAGCATGGTGCTGTTAGCAGCATGGTCTTGTTAGCTGTTTGGTTCTGTTAGCAGTGTGGTCCTGTTGGCAGCATGGACCTGTTAGCACCGTGGTCCTGTTAGCACCATAGTCCTGTCAGAAGCGTGGTCCCGTTAGTAGCTTGGTGCTGTTAGCAGCATGGTCCTGTTAATAGTGTAGTTCTGTTAGCAGTGTGGTCCTGTTGGCAGCATGGTGCTGTTGGAAGTGTGGTCCTGTTAGTAGCATGGTGCTGTTAGCAGCATGGTCTTGTTAGCTGTTTGGTTCTGTTAGCAGTGTGGTCCTGTTGGCAGCATGGTCCTGTTAGCACCGTGGTCCTGTTAGCACCATAGTACTGTCAGAAACGTGGTCCCGTTAGTAGCTTGGTGCTGTAAGCAGCACGGTCCTGTTAATAGTGTGGTTCTAACAGAACCACACTATTAACAGGACCATGCTGCTAACAGCATACAACAGCAGTGTGGTCCTTTTAGCAGCATGATCCTGTTAGCAGCATGGTCCTGTTAGCTGTGGTCCTGTTAGCAGCATGGTCCTGTTAGCTGTTTGGTTTTGTTAGCAGCATGGTCCTGCTGGCAGTTTAGTTTTGTTAGCAGCGTGGTTCTCTTAGCAGTGTTGTCCAGTTAGCCGTGGTGCTGTTAGCAACAAGATTCTGTTGGCGGCATGGTCCTTCTAGCGTTTTGGTTCTGTTGGCAGTGTGGTCTTGTTGGCAGTTTAGTTTTGTTAGCAGCGTGGTCCTCTTAGCAGCATGGTCCTGTTAGCTGTTTGGTTTTGTTAGCAGCGTGGT